GGTATATGTTCCTTTGTCAACCATTCTTTAATTTTATCAACAGTCCAAGAATTCGTTGGACTTTTGTTTAATACTTCAGAATGGTAAGGTGCATTGTCTAAAATAATTACGCTGGGCTCACTTAAACCTGGGAGAAGTTTTTCATGCGGCCATTTTACAAACATTTCTATGTTCATATTATTGTGATAGTTACTGGATTTTGATTTAGATGAAAATATTAAATCAGCACCTTCTATAAAACCCGATTTGCCTCCTGCATGTAAAATTAGGTGTCGCTTCCCTTCTCCATCGGTCTGTTTGATGGACTTTACGTTATCATCTTGTCATATTCTCTTGGTTGCACCCCTAAAAAATATCCATATATAAAATTCGCCCCTTCTTCTTTAAATTTAGAATATTTTCTTAATAAGTTAATTCTCTTGTGCACGACAGAACTTCTTTCACAAAGGGCCTTTCTGTTATCCTCCTTTTAAAATTTGAAACCCAAGTTATGTATCACTTGCCATAGACTTGTTCTGCCAATATCGTCATAGTTTCTATCTATTAATTCCGAGAGAATTGTATTTAAGGTCACATGCTCCTTGTTGGCCCTCATTCGATAAATGATATCACGAATTTCAAATTTCTTTCCATCTGGAATATCTTTCGTTTTCAATGATGGGCGAGTTTTGCGGTGATCTTCTTTCGGCAGTTCACTATTGTGATTTTGTAATACTCCTCTTAATTTGGTTTCACTAATTTCTAGAGCATCGCATACGCGTTGTTGTACAGACATTACTGATTTTACAGGACCGCCATTTTCTGTTTCATTCGTAAAATACTTATGTACACTACAAATTAGACTATCTACATCTAACACACGTCTAGGCATTTTTAAAATTTCCACTAAATTTACAATATACATACAATGTCAACACTTGCAAAGAATCAATTCAACTGCAATATTTGTAACAAATTTAGTACCTACCCTAATGTTATTTTAATTTAAATCTGGCCATTAGGGCAATTTTACCTAATTTCTTGGGAAGGGGCTTATTGGAACTGGTTGTCAATGACTAATTTGCATAATTTTGTTAATGCGAAACCCGCGTAAGTATAGCGAACAGACTATAATTCTGTGCTTCTATTTTTTTGTTTTTTAAAGTGAAATAAAATAAGAACAGTAGACATTAAATAAATAACGATACAAAAACGTAGGTGAATTTACTACCATAATATTAATAATAAACGCGTAAAAACGCTCATTTTAACTTATGCCATTTAAAACTAAAATTAAATTAAACAAACCAAAGGCAAACTTTGCCAAAAAAGTAGGCAAACAAAAGCAAACTTAATTCTAATCAGAATCAGAATCTGTCTCCATGTGGAATTCGTGATATTATGACAATACGATGTAAATTTTTTTGAATAGCGTCACTGTAACTCAATATTTTTTAGATATTTTTTCGGTCAACCTTTTTGGACCAAATTGATAATGTTTTCCTAAATTAGCAATCTTCAAGTTAGAACAAGTCTATTTAGAGGAAAATTTTGTACTATTATTTGTAAAAAGAACAAACCTCCTGTTATCGACTACTTCTACTTTAGATAGAAATATCTTATCTCCATGAGCGCTCGGATGAGGTCTATTCCGCAGTAGTCATTGTTGCAGAACAAACCTATCTTCAATTAAAATTTCACTTAAGTTGTTTATAGTTTAAGATAGAGTAGTTTTGCATTCAAATAAAAATTTAATTTTAAGATAGGATTCTTTTTCAGTTAACTGTTATCCCCAAATAATATAAATAGGATATATTATCCTACTTCTGCATCTAATCCGAGATGGTTTGAACTATCCCAAGTCATTAAAAACCAAAAATGACAAATTTTGTAGTGATGCCGCGAGACGAGACGAGACGAGAGAGAGGCCTCTCTCGTCTCGTCTCGTAGGGCGAGAGAAAACTTTTCTCTCGTCTCGACGAGAAGGCGCTTCTCTCGCTCGAGAGAGCCATTCTCTCGTCTCGTCTTGTCTCGTCTCGTTTCTCTCGTGATAAAAACATATTAAATTTAAATTTGGAAAAAATATACTTAAAACGAAACATGAAAAAACTATAAAATTTTGAAGACAATAACAAATAATTTTTCAAGTAATTTGTCTCATCATTACCCAAATTGGCAATAAGAAACACTTAGGGAAATTACCTTAGTATCTCTCTGCCTGTCCGTATGTCACAATCGTTTTACTTAGACACTATTTCACATAAATAATTGACATTTAAAGTAATCAGTGGCCCAAATTGGGCATTAACTAAGAATGTATAGCAGAGGCAGAAGTTGGAAAGGCTTTTGGTAGGTAGAGAGGGGGTAAACGTAAAACCACGTCAGACGACTTCGATAATTGTGCAGTATCTAATGATTACCTGCCAGTGTCGTTTCATAGAATAAGAACTGGACAATCGCATGTATTTATGAACTATAAATAATTATTAAACATGTATTATAATACCCAAATCATAATTCTACAAAATTTCAACAGCTATTCACAATTTATTAAACTATTTACTCGAAATTGTTATTAACATCTAAAAAATAATGTTATACGCCAATGTATTGCGTTCACTTGCCGCAAACCTGTCAAGTTATGTGTATGAAGTGGGAGAACTAGCAAAAGCCTTTCCAACTTCTGCCCCTGCTATAAATACTTTGTCTTAGAAGTCAGTTGGGAGGGGGTAGGGTTTCATTTGGAATTTTTTTAGTGTGATATCAAATGAAAGCATTTTGAAGCATATTAACAATATAATATACGTTCGTTTCTTTTACTTTTTCTTTGACAGTTTTTCGAAAAAACAATTAAAAATTGTTGTCTTTCTGATTTATCTCCAAAAGTAACCTCCGAAAAATTTGACGGCATGGAAATTATTACGATTCTGTCCGTTGGTTAGTTTTTTTACAAAGAAATTTCAGATGGCACTTTTGTCTTGGGCGCTTTTGTTGGGAAGCGAATTTGTCGGGGCGCTTTTGTCGGAGCGCTTTTTTCGGGGCGCATTTAACGGGTCACCATCAATAAAAATCGTGCAAGCCGTTTCCGAGATAATTGAGGCGTTCTATACTTAAAACTCACTGTGTATATAGAATAAGCGTTTAATAGTTAATTTTTTGACTGTCTGGAAATCTTATATTTTTAAATTTTAAGTTACGATAAGTAACTGAAAATTTTAAAGAAGTAAAAAGTTAATTGCGCGAGAGAACTCGAGAGAGCTCGAGAGAAACGAGAAATTCTCGTCGAGAGATGACACTCTCTCGTCTCGTCTCGAATCTTTTTTCGAGAGAAAATGTCTCTCTCGTCTCGTACGAGACGAGACAAGACGAGACGAGAGACGAGAATATATCGTCTCGCGGCATCACTAAAATTTTGGAGTTAGGCTACTTCTGCGACGGTATATTATAAATTACCATAACGTATGATGCCATGGCAAACTAACAGTGATATAGTGTTAGAAGAAGACAATATACAACAAGAAGACGAAACACCGACTTCTCATAGGGTGAAAATTTCAACCTATACCTGGATACGCCGACCAACATAGACTCTAACGCTGCAAAAAAGTTCAATTATTACCATCAATAAAATAAAATAATTAGCTACATTAGACTTTAAATTTGTAAATTAAAATGATAGAAGGCAAAGACTATAGGCAAACACAGAAGTAGTATTGATTACTCATAAATATACAAAATTAGTTTTGCGCAATTCAAATTTTTCTATAAAGGTCCTTCAAATGTGCTGCCACAATTGTTTTACGAACAAGAAATAGTACTCTTTTCCTACCTAGCATTCATTAATCTTGAGAGCAATTTTCGAATCAGTAGAAAGAAAAAATATGGAAGGTTTTTAAAGACTTAGAAGTGCCAAAATATCTAATCAATATAATGACATATGAGACTGTTAAATAAGAGAACAGATAGGAGGACATACATCGAAGAAGTTTTTAATGAATAATGGAAAAAAACAAGAAAATATTCTTAGCTGATTGCTGTTCACAACCATAATGGACAAAATGCAGGGGCGTGCGGTCAATGGAAGCGGGGGAAGCACCGCTTCCCTCCACTTTGAGATTTAAAAATAAATATTTTTCAGTTTACAATGCATAGAAATTAATATTAAATTAGATACTATATTTTCTCTGAAACATTACGTATATACTTCGAGTCCGTCGGCGGAAGCGAGTCTTTAAAAAGCCGACTCATCTTTCAATTGATTTCGCTTCGTGTTATTGACCCTACTTTGCCGCGACAGTAATCAGTCTGTTTGGACAAGTGAAATACGGTCGAAAGGCAGCGATTTTTACGTCGCCTTACGCATATTGCAATTCGCACCGCGAATCGACGTGTGAGGAAAATCGTAGACTTCAGATAGATTTCGGTTTGTTTTTCGTAGTTGTTTTTCTTTTTGTAAAATGGAGGAACTACACACTGTGCCTGTGAACAATAATAATGTGGTAAATTGTGTCTGTATTGTGTGCTCTTTATTGAAAAAAGGATTTTCAAGTAGAAATTTTGAAGAGAAAACGGACATTATTAATTCTAGTAGACTAAAGGGTCCTATCAATTTAGAGACGAAAGTCGAAAAGTCAGCAAAGAAATTTACTAGGCATTTTCACGTAGGGTTCTATAAAAAGTATGATTGGTTAACCGGCTGCAAAACTTTAAAGAAATTGTTTTACTGGCCTTGCCTACTTTTAAATATTGCCGAAAAAACACACTGGAACTCAGTCGGTATTACAAACTTGAATAATTTTCACAAAAGTGTAAAACGACAAGTAAATAGCAAATCTCATATAAGTGCTACAATTAAAGAAAAAACATTCGGGACCTATCGCATTGAACATAGTTTCGACCAATCATTTAAAAATAAGCAATAAAATTTACAATGAAAGGGTAAAAAAATAGGGACGTCTTACAATGATTAATAGATGTAACTTGTTTCCTGGGAGAGCATGAACTAAGTTTTAGGGGTCACAATGAAGCAAGTGGATCCGCCAATCGAGGAAATTATATACATGGATCTTCTAAGTTTTTTAGCAAAATACGATGCTACCCTAAATAATCATTTTATTGATTCGACGACGTTCCGAGGTACCTCAAACAGAGTCCAAAATGACTTAATTAAATGCACTGCTGACGTTGTGATGGATCACATTAAAAGTGAAATTAAAAAAGCACATTTCCTATCAATTGCGCTTGATGAAACCACAAATGTAGCAAACTTAAGTCAATTATCCATTTTTGTGGTGTATTGGATGGTATTCCTCAAGAGCGATTCTTAGGATTTTTGTTTAAAATTGTTTGTGACATTATTTCAAGTTTAGAATGTGGTTCTAAGCTTGTTTCCCAGAGCTACGATGGCGTTGCCGTAATGGCTGGCCATTTTGGAGGCCTTCAAGCTAAAGTGGTGAAAGAGAAGTTTAAACATGCAATTTTCGTTCACTGTATAGCACATAGACTTAATTTGGTTTTAACGCGAAGCATGGATAATATTAAAGATGGCAAAGTTTTCTTTTTGACGCTTTCTTCTTTTTAAAGTCTTTGAAAAGAACTCGCGCTTTAAAAAAGGTTTCCAAAAGTTGCTCCGACGCGATGGAACTAAAATTAAATTATAGAATTTTTTTTTGATATTCCAGGATTAAAGTCCTAGTTAAGTGTTGTTTATGAAACAACTGAAATTAGTGATAAAAAGACGCCCATCAATGGGTTAAATTTTCTTATAACAATTGGTTTAAGTAAGTCCCTATGTGAAGTCGTCAAGTTGTGTGAATCAGTACTAACCATCCCAGCCACAAGTGCGTCAGTTGAGCGAAGTTTTTCAGCTTTAAAGAGCATTAAAAGTTTTATACGAAATTCAACAAGTGAAGACAGAATCTCTAATCTAGCCCTAATATCCATTGAAAAACAGCTTGTTAAACAGTTACCAGAAAATCCAAAATTTTACGACGATGTTATAGATAAACTTGCAGCCATTAAGGATAGGCGAATAGATCTTAAATATAAGTAAATATCAACTGCCGTGTCAACTGTGCGAAAAATGCTGGAAAAAAAATAAAAAAAAAACTTAAGTTAAATGTTTTTTTTACGTTTAAATAAACCAAGGAAGCTTTTCAATGGTAAGTTTTGTAATAGCTTCTAGTACTAAACTAGGTAATGGGCCGCGAAAAATTTTCGCCTTCGAAGCTGTGCTTACTAGCGTGCTGTATTTTTATACAATCGCTTTCCCTTCCAAAAATGTCACCGCACGCCACTGCAAAATAGTCAAGACGTTAAAAGAACGAGAAGGAAACTTAGATATGTTAATGAGATACAAAAACTTAGAGCAGAATCGATTGAGCAATTTGTACTAGGCAGATGACGTGGTACTAATAGCAAAATTAACACGAAAATATGAGAATGGAAGTAAATATTCGTAAAGAGAAAAACAAAGTGATGATTGAAAACGAAAAACAGAGAGATTATATAAATAATAAAGAATTAGAATTTAAAGATATATACAAAATTAGAAATAGTTAGTATTACTTAACAGATAAATTAAGTAGAATATACTACTCCATAAAACAATACTGGGTCATAATGATATTGATACAAACACTAAAATGAAAATTCATAATATAATTACAGTACCAACAATAATAATTATGCTAGCGAAAAAATGGATACTACAAAAAAAGAGTAGGCAAAACTAAATAGGACAGACAAAGGAATGAAGAAATAAAATTAATTAAACGTGAATCAATAATAACAAAGATCAAAAAAGAAATAATTAAAATGGTATGGTCAGCTAGTAAGAATAATACAATAATACAATAGGGACAAAAATTTTAAAAAAGGTAAAGAGTTTAGCTTGGAAGGATACTGAAGAGATTGGATAAGAAGAAAACTTTTATAGGGGTGAAGACACTAGCCAAAACAGAAAATAGAAGAAATTGGTTTAGTAAGAGTACGAATCCCAATACGACGCCTAAAAAGGCAGAAGGATATGAGAAAGAAAAGAGTATGAATCCAAAAATTTTCAAGATAAATATGAATATGAATTTTCATAGCCAAAAGCTCGATTGAAAAATGTAAACGTATTTTAATCTAATTACAATTTTTTATATTTAGTCCAAAATGTACGAAAGCAGAAACTCAAAACAAATTAATTTTAAACGTACACCAATTATAGTGCGAAACACTTCGAGAGCAATTAAAATTTTCTAAATATTTCCAAGCGCCAACCTGAAAAGAGGCCATAACGCTTATCCGAGACCGCCGCATCCGGCCGTATAAAACGTCGTTTCGAAATCCTCTAAAATAAATAAAACTAAGGGGCACATCAACATCAAGCAAAATCCTTTTACGTCTCCTTAATACTCATTTAATCTGTCGAGTGTCCATAAAAAGTGCGTAATTAAAAATTCCCAGTAGGCCGTAAACGGTTGTATCTAAACAAAATATCTTCAATTGTTTCCTCGGCGATTTATAGCAAACATAGCAGCGGCTTTGGAATCGACAGAGTGACAATTGCACGAGACATGTCTGAAATTAACAGTCGTAAAAAACAGGTGACATCTAGCGATTGTCTTGGAGAATAACAAGAACACATGCGCAGACAATTGACTGATTGATCGAGAGCTCAACGAACATTCTAGGTTCTTTTGAAAAAACAGCGGTGGTCTTTTTAAAAGGGAAAATCAAAATAAGATAATTTTATAAAATATTAAAACTATTGCTGTATAGATTTGAGTAGTAGTACCTCACTTTATAAAAAATTAAAAATTATTTCAAATCCAGTAATGGTTTCTTTAGGAGTTCTGCAGGGATCACATTCAGAGCCACCGCTTTTCAATCTCCTTTCTAATGACATAGGTTTAATTATTAAATATATAACAAATGTTTACTGTTCGCTGATGACTTGAAAATGTACTTAAAAATTATTACTTTTGAGAATTGTTATGAATTATAGGAAGTGACATTTTAGCACTCATGAATTGGTTTGACGGTATGTCTCTGAAAACTAATAAATGTTACTCATTTACTTTTACTTAAACTACCATTGCTTTCAATTATTCACTTAAATAATGTGCCCTTTAACAGATTTGTTACCATCAAGAGTCTAGGTCTGGATACCTATATACGAATTTTGATTATCAGCTGACATTTATTAAACATGTTAGGTTAGGTAAGGATAAAAAGATGTGGGATGATCTCATCGCCTTTCACTACGAATTATGTTAAACATTAACACCATCACTAGTAAGAGTTACCAAATGTTGGGATTTGTCGAAGACATAGTCACCTTATATTAACTTTGTACGGTCAAAACTTGAATACTGTTCTGTTGTTTGGAATCCCGTGCATAACATTTATACTGACTTACTTAAGAAAGTTCAAAGAAAATTCAGATTGGTCAGCTCAAAATTAGAGTAGATCTTTTAGAACAACAACAACAACAACAACAACAACAACAACAAGAGCATTTAAAAACTAATTTAGAACAACAGCAAGAGTATTTAAAAACTAATTTAGAACAACAACGAGATAATTTAAAACAACAGGAAAAGGCTAGAGTAGAGTTCGAAAGGCAAATTAGAACTTAACTAGTTGAGTTAGAAAGAAGAATTCGTATCCTAGCTTCGATAAGCAACAGAGAAGCTGAAAACACTACCTCGTCCTCATCTGTAATCGAACCAAGCCATATTCAACACCCAGTTTCACAAATCCATACTAGCAAGATCATTAGGCCACCTACGTTTGACGGTCAGACAACATGGGAAACGTATAACCTCCAATTTGAAGCTGCAGCTAGAGCCAATGGCAGGGCTGAAAAGGAGAAGGCGGCTTCATTGATAGTGTCACTGCGAGGTCAGGCAGCAACCGTTCTACAGTAACTTCCTCAAGACGAACCCTGTTATTCATCTCTCGTCCAGGCTTTGGAGACAAGATATGGCCAGCAGCATTTGAAACGGGTATTTCAAAGCCAGCTAAAGATTCGTAGTCAGAAACATAATGAGAGTCTACAGGAATTCGGGGCTGACATAAGAAGATTGATTCATCGTGCCTATCCACAGGCCCCCAAGGATTTCCAAGAACAAATCGGAATAGAGGTATTCATTGATGGACTACAAGATGCGGAAATGCAGCAAGTTCTTCGTCTACAACATCACAAGACGCTGAAGGAGAAACTGATTGCAGCACAGGAATATGAAGCGGTAAAACTCATATCCAGATCTTCTCGCGCAAAAATGAGAGAAATTAAATCCCAGGAAAGTGAGGACCCCAATGATAATGCTATTCCCCAACCCATCCTCTCGCAAATTTTAATTGCTTCAATTGCAGAAGAATCGGGCACCTTCAAAGTACCTGTAAAATCCGAGCTCGTTCTATAAATAGAGAATCAGGGAATAAGGCCGGAAAGTCACAAAGATCAATCTTCCGAAGCCCGTCACGAAGTCCAACAAGAAATAGTCACAGCAGCTATGCGTCCCGAAGTAGCCAATCACCCACACCGAGCCGATTTTCTAGCAATAATAAGGAAGTAGAGCAACGTAGAAGCCATCTGTATAGCAACGCAGACATTCTCTTCAGGCGACCCTGTTTAGAACGAGAAGGCCAGTACAGTAAGGGGCTCGGAGAACGGAAGGAACCAGTTGATAAAGTTACCCTTCGGGCAACCACTATCAAGCCAGAGGGCGGCGAAGAAAAAATTACCCTTGAAAGTCTGAGACAGGGACAGAAGAAAGACAATGACTTAAAGGTTGTTCGAGAATGGCTCAAAAATAAAGTCACACCTACTTGGCAAGAGATAGCCAAATACAGTAGAACTATAAAAGGCTACTGGACCCAGTGGGATTCCCTGTATCTTCACGATGGCCTATTGCACCGGAAGTGGAAGAGCCCCGATGGAGTACATGTAGCCCGACAAGTGATACTGCCGAGGTCACAGGTGAGAAATGTATTGGAGGAGCTTCATAGCAGCTGTTCAGGAGATCACTTTGATACTAAAAGAACACTGGCACGAGTTCGAGAAAGATTTTATTGGGTCAATTGCCGACGGGATGTAGCGGATTGGTGTAAAAGATGTGATGTATGCAATGGCAAGTCAAAGGTCTATGGATTCGCTCGGGAACGACTGAAAGCCCACACTGATAAAGCAGAAGCTAGAATCGACAGGCGTGCCACAGATACACATTTTGACAGGGGCGACAAGGTATGGCGGTGCAATCCCAAACAGCGAGGAGGATTTTGTCAGAAATCGCAACGGAACTGGCGAGGCCCCTACTCTGTCTTTAAGGAAAAT